GTTTCATGCTCAAGGACTAGCAGTTGCTGATTAATTGCTACTGGAGGATGGTGCAAGTGGCAGACCGATCTCTTCTGGGAAACTCGGCTTCTGTGAGGGTGGAGAGAGAAGGGTGCAGTGTTAAGGGACGGTACCATTAGCTCTGGCTCGCAGAGATGCTGCCTCTGTGCCCGTGGGTCCTATGTCTTACTCAACTTCTTGCAGATCTGATAAGCTTCTTGGGAATTTACATATTAGGAAAGAAGTCATGACATAGTGGCCCGAGGCCACAGTTCGCCCTTATATGTGTCACCAAGCCCACGGAGCATTTTATAAATTGGAGCCTTGCTTAAAAATTGGGATATTTAGAGAAAGATCAGGATTTCAGGGTTTCAGAGTTCTGAAAAACTGGAAGTTCCAGCAGCACAGGTATGCTTTGGTTTGTGTCCTGGATGCTTGGTCCCCAGTGAATGATACTGAAAAGTGATGGGACATTTGAGTGGCTCATGGCTACTCTGGTAACGGGATCAGTGCTGGTCCCGTGGAGTGGGTTGGGTCTCCGGGAAGTGGGTTAGTTCTTGTGAGAGTGATGGGTTTTGCAACAGTGCCTTGCCCTTCCCTATCTCTTGCTTTCTCCCTTGCCGTGTGACCTCTTGTACACTGCCATTCTTGCATGTGACCTCACCAATCATGTGGTGACAGAACAGGGAGGCTCTTGACAAATACTAGCTGTTTGGATTTTTAACCCACCAGATTCATGAGACAAATGAACTTCTTTTCTTTATGCATTTTCCAGCATCAGGTACTTTGTTATAGCAACACAAAAAGGAAAAAGACAAGGCCACTTGACCAAATGGCAACAGTGTTGGGAGTCAAGTGGTGGCTCCTTGTCCTCTTCACTGCCAGTCTTCACCTGACTCTCCTCATTTATACAACTGGTTGTCCCAGCAGTGCTGTCACTAGGAATTCGCTCCCATGATAAATGAATATCATCTTCCCTGAGATTGGCTAATATCCTAGAACCTCAGAGAAACAAGGAGGCCCAGTGAGACAAGGTCTCATATATAGCCCAGGATGGCCTCGAATTCATGGTGATCCTCCTGCCTCAGCCTCCCAGAGTGCTAGGACTATAGGTGTGTGCCACTATGCCAGGTTATAATGTAGATGCATTTAGCAGAGGACGGCAGCAAGAATGAATGTAGCAGAAGTACCCAGGCATCTCCAGCTCCTGCTAGTGAGGCTTCTCTCATGCAGCAGACTAAAAGCTGCCCTGAAGGGCCCAGAGCTGATCCACCAGACCATGAGGCAGAAGGACAGGGTCTCACCATTCCTTCTGCTGTGAACTTCCACCCAATGACCTACTGCTTGTGGACCAGACAGTGTGCCAGGCATGCGAGCAGCATTAGCTCATCTAGTGATGGCACTGCCCTGTGAAATAGCAGTGATCACCATCCTCACTACAGACTAGGCAACTAGGACTAGAGATGTCAAGTCACTTTCTGTGGGCATGCAGTTTGGAAGTAGCTGGGAAACTGAGGCTTAGGTAGTATGATTTTGCTCCTGCAAATTTACTCGGTCCACAGAGCTGAGATTCTGTTACAGTGTGAACCTTAAATGTCTCCCGGAGGCCCATGTATTGGAGGTGTCATTGGGAGTGGTGGAGCCTAAAAGGGGCGGGGCCTAGTGGGAGGCCTTTGGGTCATGGAGGGGTGTGGCCTTGAAGGGGATTGTGGGATCACAGTTCCTCCTTTCTCTTTTCCTTCCTGTCCTTGAGGTTTTGCCCACCATAATGTGCTGCCTGGCCACAGGTCCAAAAACAACTAGGGCAATAGATCATGGACTGAAATCTCCAAAACTGTAAGCCAAAATAATCTGAACTTTCCAAAACAGTAAGCCCTTTGTCAGTTAATTATTTTTTATTGTGGTAGAAATCTGACTAGCACAGATTCCAAGTGAGGGCCAGTAGACTCCAAAACCTGAGGTTGAAATGCAAAACCAGACGTACAGATTGGGCCAGGCTCAGCAGGGTTTGGAAGATTTGGAAATTTGGGCCTTTGGTTGGGTTCTCTGGCCTTTATTTGCTACCCAAATGGGAACTTACAGAGGCCATGCTTGTACAGCAAGAGATTTAGCCACTGTCACTTACCTGGGAGCCAGCAGAGACTGAGCAGGAAGTGGAGTTTGGGGTGCTGCTATGGGAGAGTTGGCACAGGGAGCTCACTAGATACAGATGTAGGCTGGAAGTGGTGATGCAGGTGATGCAGGGTAGGAATTTTCTAGTCATTGCCCAAGTTCTGGCTCTTCTGGGTCAATGCAGCAGAGGCAGGGTGGCCCCTAGGCCTGTGTGTTGCAAAAGTTTTGGGCCAGAGATCTGTTGTCCCTGATGGCCTGGTTGCCATTTAGTGTACTCAGGTTCCCACTGTGCGGGGAGGGAGCCCACTTTGTGTGCCAGAGCCATTCTCCTGCCTCAGCCTCTCCAGGGGTGGGATTCTTTAATATATTATTAATTCTTTAATATATTATTATCATTGCTCTGCTCAGTGGAGAGGGTGCTGGCCTGGGAGGAGGTTCTGGGTGATTCTAGTCCTGGTTCTGCCCCATCACCCTGTCACCTTGGCTCTGTGAGGCTCCACTGAGGCTCAGGCTGGCGATGTGTCTGGGGTGGAGTGTGGCTTCCTGGGTCCGCGATGCCCCACTTGCTGTCAGGGCCAGGCTGCCGGCGACCCCTGTGTCCCTCATTCCCCTCCCTCCTCACACCCACGCACAGCCTCCTAAGCCTGCGGCACCCCTGGGCCAGCTGCTTCTGCACCACAAGCTCTGTGTCCCCATTTCAGGTCCCATTTAGGATTCAGCTCCTAAATTTAGTCCTTTCACAGAAGCCAAGGTGTGCGGTGAGGGCTGCGTGGGGAACGACAGCGGGCTTGTCTGTGGCTGCTGTTGTGGCAAAATAACCTAGGCTGATTCGGAAAGGGCGGAGGCTTCTTCCTTACAGTTCTCAAGGCTTGGAGTTCAAGGTCAAGGGCCAGCGGGGGCGAGGGCCAGAGGTGCAGGGAGCGGGCATAAGTGGAGCCTGAATTTGCTTTTGTACGAAACCTACCCCCATAGCCTGTCATCTCAGCACTCTGGGAGGCTGGGGCAGGAGATGGTGAGTTTGAGCCCAGCCTGGGTCATCTAGTGACTTAGCGAGAACTTCACAGAAAATACTTTTAATCTAAAAAAATTTTTTTAGAAAGGGTTGAGATGTAGCTTAGTGTGAAGACCCTGGGTTCAATCCTCAGGACCACACACACACACACACACACACACACAAGTCTATTTCCAAAAATAGTGGACAAACCCCTACGATAATGACATAACCCTTTAATGAGTGTGGGACCCTTGTGACTGGAACTGTTCCTACTTCCTAGCATTGCTGTATGGGGGATGAAGTTTGCCATGCGTGAATTTTGGGGGACACATTCAAGCCACAACAGGCAGCTTTTCTACCCATACAGTATTGTGGGAAACAAATTAGACAGATGAATACTGTCTTGTTGTTAATGTATTAGGCAAGTCATGGGGTTCTTTGGGGACACGGTTTTCTAAGTTTCAAGTGTGTTGACTCATTAAGAGGTTACATGCTTTGGGTCTGGATCTTTTGATTCTAATCTTAGGCTTTTTTTTTAAGACAGAATTTTACTATATAGTTCAGGATAGCTTCAAACTCACAGCAATCTTCCTGCCTCAGCCTCCCAAGTAGCGGGATTACAGGTGTGTACCACCTGAAGCCCAGCTCATTTCATCTCTAGATATTCTCACCTTTGCTTACGTTGTGGGATTATTATGATAACAGAAAAGTAATCAATTTGTATCACAGGGAAGCAACATGGTCTTATGGTGGAAAGACAGATTAACTGGGTTTGACTTCTAGTTTTGTTACTTTGGACCAGCTGTGTGACCTTGGACAAATTATTCAGTCTTTCTGTGCCTCAGTTTCTCATCTGTGATCTGGGGGATGGTAAAGTACTCATATATGCTAGTTATGAGCATTGAATGAAATAATATTTGCAAAAGACTTTCCACAGTGCCTAACAGCTGGTAAAGTTTGTGGTTGCTTAATTAAAATAATAATTTTAACAGCTAATCAGCTCCATGACCTTAAACAAGCAGAGAGCATCTTAGATTAGGATCAGAAGACACACATTCCACTGTAGGCTCAGCCACTAATTTGCTCTGTGACCTCCTTTAGCTTTGCTGGGCCTTTGCTTTTTCAATTGCAAAATAAGGGCCCTAGACAAGTTTGATGACAAACAGCATTTTTTGAGTATGTTACCCCAAAATTTAGAGGCTTGGAACAAGTTGCAGTCTCTGCAGCTTTTGTAGATTGGCTGGGAGGTTCTGCTGGCCTTACCTGAGGACACTTGTGTGGCTTCATTTATCCCTATAGTCACCTGTCGTGAGTCTCCTCCTCGTGGCCTCTTCCTGTGGCTGTCTCATGCTTTCCAGATGGCTCATGGGAGAAGCAGAAGCTCTGGAATGGCCACTTCTGTTTGCATTCCATTGGTCAGACAAGTCCTGAGGTCAGCCTGGACTCCAGGATCCCGAAGACAGGGGTTTGTATTAATATAGCCCCTGGCTCGCAGGTGCTCAAAGGAATGCTGGGTCTTGGGAAGGGCGCTGTGGAAGACGGAGACCTCTGAGTTCTGTTGTTCCTTCCTGAGTCACCTTTTATAAAATGAGTGACCAGTGGCAGCCCTCCCTCAAGCTGCATGGGAGGCTGTGACAAACTAGTACATTCAGCACTCAGCATCATCCAGTCCCAGGCAAGCACCTGGTAGGTAGCAGCTGGTACTGAAATGAAACCAGAAGTCTGGCCGCCTGCCCCAGGAAACAGCCCTGGATTTGATGGATCAGGTGTCCCCAGAGACTCCAGCTCACGGGCAGGCAGGCTCTCTCCATGTTCCCACCTGGAGAGACCCCCAGCTTCTCCCTGGAAACACTTTCCGGCCCTGCGACCCTTCACTCAGTCCACACACACAGGATGTCTTCCTCTTTTTATTTCCTCTGGCTTTTTATTAAATCACACACAGCATGGGGCATCAGGCCCCAGTGACTTCACTGAAATCGCCTGGGATTGTGGGGAGCAGAAGATCCACTCTCCCCAGTTTTTACTACAAGGACTAAAAACATCAGAAACCATCCCAGATGGGAGGCACAAAGCGTCTGACAGAAGGGACAGTGGAGTGAAAGCCGCCCTGAGGCACAGAGGCTGACAGAGGAGTGCTGTGGCCTGAATGTTTGTGTCGCCCCACTTTGGAGTCCTCGCCCTCGAGAAAGTGGGGCCTTTGGAGGTGCCTGGGTGACAGAGGGGAAGCCTCATGGAGTTTGTGCTGATTTGGAAGAGACCTGAGGGAGGTGTCTGTGCTTCTACCACTGAGGACTCAGAGAAGACTCTGCCCAGTGCCCTGGGCCTTGATTTTGGATTTGCAGCCTTCAGGGATGTGAGAACCCAGCTTCTGCCTCGTCACACCCGTGTCTGGTATTTCGCTACAGGAGCCTAGGGGACTAAGGCTTGGGACAAGTAGTTTCTTTCAGCCCCAATCTCACTGAGGAAGGGAAATGTGTTTATTACTTCATCATGGAAGAGGCTCAGAACCAGAAGTGAGGGGCTGAGCACCTGAGACAGAGGCTCTGGGGGAGGCAGAGTGGGGAGAACCAGCTCCCAAGCTCTGCTTCCAGAGGGTGGCACCTGAGCCAGGTGGCTGCGTCAGGTCCTAGAGACCCAAGGGGCTGTGGCAAGGTCACTGGGTTGGGGAAGGGGTTCAGGACTCTACTTAGCCTGTAAAAGATGTAGCTCCCCCGTTTTAAAACCACAAACATAGGGTGCAGAGGAAGGGTACTTTGATCTACTTCCTTCCCAGTGGGTGCGACGGTCAGTCATGGGTACAAGTGATTCTAATCCACTTGTCAGGGCAGAGGAGAGGGGACACTGGTGTGTCTCCTCAGTCAGCCCGAATTTTCCCCCCAGTGCAGCAGGCTGGGGTCAAAGCCATGCTGTCTGCCCAGGGCCAGGGGTGTCTCAGTCCCCTTCGGTTGGCTGTGATGGGGTCACACCCCATGTCCCCTGAGAATAAGCGAAGGCTTCACTTCACCAATGCTGCCTGGTCCAAACTCGGAGGTGAAGTGGAGGTAGACAGGCCTTGGGAGGGGCGGGAGGGGGTGCTCTGCACGGTGGGGTGTTCCAGAAACAGGTCTGGGACAGAGACAGGTTTGGCAACTTCCTGACATTGCTTTCAAACATCGGCTCCCCCTCCTGCCACAGCGTTTCCATCAGGTCTGTAAACAATGCCCACTCTGACCCATGCCACCCTCTGGCCACAGGGACAGCCTTCTGTGCCGCTGCAGCGCCACCTGGGACTTCTCCCTGGGCTCCCACAGGCACTCACACCCCCACGGTGCTCTTCTCGTCCTCTCTGGGGCTGGGGTCCTCCTGAACCTTCTTCATCTCCCAGCCCCGGACCCAGGTGTACGCGGAGGAGCCGCCCAGCACCATCAGGTTGCTGGTCCACCAGAGGAAGCTCTTGGTCTCCTCGTAGTATAGGACGGCCAGCACCGTCTGGAAGCAGGCCTTGGCTGTGCCCGACACGTTGTGGGTCAGCGGGCTGGTGAATTTGATCTGCAGTCCTGTCACATAGCCGATGGCGAAGCCAAACAGGCCGCCCAGTGTCATCATCCCCCAGAAGTGGGCACTGCCAAGGTGGGCAAAGCTCCAGAGCGTCCGGAGCTCCCCGAGCAGCAGGAGCAGCGGCAGAAAGAGGACGCAGGCGTTGATGTTGTTGTAGAAGGTCAGGCGCCAGATGCTGTTGTCCACGGCCGGGAGCACCTTCTTGGTATAGATGGCATTGAGCGACACACAGAGGCTAGCCAGTACCCCGAAGACAGTGCCCAGCAGAGACAGAGTACCCTCAGCCCCTTCCTGGTCCACACCCAGCCAGAAGCCACCTGCAGCAGGGAGAAGGGGAGGAGAGAGACAAAAGTGATACCAAAGCTCACAGCTAGTGCACTGCGACCCTCACCATCCTGTCCAGCCTCTGCCCTCGCCGAGGGAAGACGCCCAGCCAAGCCACTTCCCGACCCTTCTTTCATTACAGCTGCAGTCACTGTGATGAGCACCGTGGAACAGCATGGGGTGCTGGGCTGGCCTGGGGCGTCTGGGAAGTGACTGTATTCTGCAGGACGTGTGACAGTTGCGGTGAAGACCACGCTGGGCAAGTGACATGGTCTCTAAGCCTTGGCTTCTTCTCCCATAGATTTCATCACACCAGGTTAGACTCTCTTGTGGCCTTGGAACCTACTCTTAGTTCATGTTCTGCTCAAGGAGCCCCCACGGTTCCCCACTGCCTGCTGCCAATTTGCATTCCGGCTGTGCCCAGCACGCTGGCTTCCTGCACCCTTGCGGCCCTTTGTTCTGTGATCACCCCGAGTCACCCTCCACTTCCCCTCCTTTTTGGGGGCAGGATCTTGCTACATAGTTCTGGTTGAACTTGGGCTCACTATAGCTCAAACTGACCTTGAACTTTCTGTGATCCTCCTGACTCAGCCTCTCCCCCAGTGCTGGGATTATAATCATGTGCCACCATGCCCTGCGAATCTCCCCGATTCTCACCCTGGGGCTGTGTCCTTCTTTATATCTACAACAAGAAACATCTGTCTCCTTCCCAGGAAGTTTTTACTCATGCTTCAAGGTCAAAGCTGACTTCTCGGGGGTGGGGAGTTTCTTTCCCAGTAATCCTAGTGCCCAGACCTTCTCGGACTCTCACTGCCTGTGCTTCCACGGAACTCCTCGCCAGCCTTGGCCTGCGAGGCTCCTGTGCACAGTGACAGCCTGGTGTCCCAGAAGGCAGGAGCTGAGTTTTATCCATTACACCTCCTGTCATAGGTCCAGCAATATGGGATAGCGGGAATATGGGAAAAGCTTTGCTGTTAGATGTGGTCTCCAGTCAAGCTGAGTGGCCTAAGAGGAATTACATAACCTCTCTGAGCTCCAATTTCCTTTATCTGTAAAAAACTGAGCTACTTTCTTAATCTGCACACCAGCCAATCTACTTCACACCTTGCAACCAACTGCTCTTCCTCCTGGCTTCTACCCTATTGAAGAGTCTCACGAGGCTCCTCACTGCCTTAGGGAAAATTGGGCCCATTCCACTGGGCTGTCCCAGTCCCTCTGTGTGGAGGACACTGTGCGGCCTGACCGTGAGGCTTGCTGTGGCCCAGCACACTGCGTGTGCCCTTCCTTTTGCCAGAACATCCTCATCCTCGCCTCGCCCCCTACACCCACATGGCACCCACTCCAGAAAGGCTGCCTAGATTGCCCACCACAGTGTCACGTACTTCCCTCAGGGATGACTGCAAGCTTGATGACACTGGTACCACCCTCGTGAGAGTTCCCTGTACATAAACCATGATTTCACTAGGGGTGGGTCCTCCTCTCCCACCCACTAAAACCCACTAAAGCTAAGACTATAGATTATGGATCAACGTTAATGACGTCATCAGTGTACACTTGCTATTTTGTGACTAAGCCACTATACTTGTAGTAACCTCTGGCTTGATCATGACTTTGGACCCAACTCTTGATTTTGTCTCTATAAACCCCCTTGGTAAGTGGAGTGCACGGCAACCCACTCTCTGGGTCCCTTCCTGTCTGTCGGGAGCTGTCTCTCCCTGGCAAATCTCCTGCCCTTAACCTCCGTTGCTCCTCCGCATTCACTCCCCAAGCTGGGGGACAGGAGCTTGTGTACTGGATACCTAGCAGGTTGGAGGTGACATTCACTTCCCCTGTATCACCTCCCGTGTTCTCCCAGCGCCTTCTGTGCCCCGTCACAGCCCTTCCCCTTAAGTGTAACTGTCACTGCCACCACACTCCATTCCCTGCCCTCCAGGGCTGTATCCTTTCCAAGCTTGTGTCCCCAGGCACAGGGCCTGGCAAGCACTTAGCCTCCGATGAAGTGCTGGTGAATGAATGAATGAATGAGTGATTTTCTGGAGGTGGCTGAAATAATACAGGAAACAGGAAGCCAGACACAGTGGTATATACCTGTAGTATCAACTGCTCTGGAGGATGAGGCAGGAGGAGTTCAGGCCAACCCAGGCAGCATGGTGAGGCCCTGCCTCAGAAGCGGACAAGGTATCTACTGCACTGGTGGCACTCAGCAAGCAGCCATTCCCTGAGTCCTGGCAGGGTCCCTGTACACCCTACTGAGCCAGGGCACCCAGCCCAGCTGCCAGCCGCCCTCTGACTCCAGAAAGGACCTTAAGCTCAAGGTGCCACACCTTAGAGGGCCTCTCAGCCAGAGGGAGCCCTGAACAGTAGCACACGACATGGCAGACAAGAAGGGAGGCCAGGAGCAGTAGCTTGAGGCCCACCTTCACCACAAGGAGGAAGGAAGGGGACCCGGCACAGATAGGGGCCTGGTCATGGAGCAACAGAAGCTATCTTCTTCATCTGCTACTTGGCTTATTTCTGGACTTGGGCTCAGTTTCCCTAGTGGCTTCCCATCCTTGGATGCAAATCCTCCCACCAGGACTGAAATAGAGATCCTGGGATCTCCAGGGAAGGCAGAGAGGAGGTGAGGTGACCAGCTCCCTAGCGAACAGGGGAGCACCAGCTCCTTGCACTCTGTTCTGGCCCTCTTTTTGCTCCCTGTTGGGTCAAAGACTGAGCAGCTGCTCAAGAGGGCAAATGTTTTTTAGAACAGATGGCATGGATGGGCCCTTCTCCCTTAACTGTGCACCTATCCTGGGACTCAGAGATACCAGGCAGAATGTGTAGGCCACCTAAGACAAACTTCACAGTACTGAGCAAGCTGAGCGGGTACAAAGAGAGATCACCTTCCTCGGGCCAGGGCCAGGAGGATGGAGGGAAGCACCCAGCACCTGAGCTGCCCTGCGTGCCTTCCAGTGATAGACAGGTCCAGAACCTGTGCTGAGCACCTGAAATGTGGCAGCAAAATCAAGTTATCACACTTGCAGCTAAGGAACTCTGCCCTTAAAACTGCATTTAATTGTAATTAATTTACATATGCATATGATCAGTGTACTGGACAGTGGGACTCTACACAGTGGTTAGAGGTCAGGTTCTGGAGTCTGGCCAATCTGGTCTTAGATATGTGGCCGTGGGTAAGTAAATTCATCACTCTGAGCCTCAGTTTATTTGGGGATGACCACAGGGCTGCTGCTACCTGCAGGACTTCTGGAGCAAGATGTTCTATATGAGGTGATTAGCACAATGTCCTTCTCAATAATTCTTATTTTCTGATGAATAAGTCTGATGACAGCTAAGGCCATGGTCTCAGGTTTTCCCCTGAGCCAGCAAGGCCAGAGGGTGATGGTGGGTTTACTGAAGGATGTACTGTCCTCTACAAAGAGAACTGGACAGGCAGCCAGGGCACTTGAGCTCTTGGGAAGCAACATGATACAGTGGCCAAGTCAGCGACGTATGGGGTAAGACTGCTTGAATTCAGATTCCAGCTCAGCTAGTGATGAGCTCTGTGCTCTTAGACAGGTAACTCAATTTTGCAGGCCTTGGTTTTCACTTTGTAAACTATAGATGGTGACTCCACTTTCTTATGAGAATTATTTGCATTAATATGAGTCACGATATGGGTGCCTAGCTCATTTAAAATAATGTCAGCATCTTAGGCTGTAGCTGTTGCTATTATGATTATTACTATTATGATTATTACTGGCTGGGTTCCTAACCTGCTGGCTGACCAGAAGCAGGTTATCTAGTCTCTCTGGGCCCAGGCTCTTCTTTGAATGACTGTTGAGCCAAGGAAGATGGGCCAGATGACATCCAAAGATGCCTGGAAGGGTTGTCCTTAGGATTGCAACTCCCATGTCTGCCCTGTCCCCACAGTCACTCACCGATTATGATGCCACAGGTGAGTAGGGCGTAGAGGGAGGTGGTCTGCTTGAGCAGCAGGTAGGACAGCAGCACGTTGAAGACGGTGGTGAGCGAGCGGCCCACGTTGTAGAAGGCCACACCGACATACTTGAGGCAGAGGTTATTGAAGGTGATCATGCCAATAAAGACCACGGACAGAGGCAGGACGCTGCGGGCCACCCTGAGGTCCAGGCGCAGGGCAGGGAAGTCTACGGTGCCTGGGCAGCAGGTGGCCAGAGCGCTGAGGCCCTTGCATAGCACCACAGTCACCACGCACTGATAGAAGGTGACAAAGATGGGGGCGTCCAGCTGCAGGGAGGGGCTGTCCAGCAGGTACTTGTTGAGGAACACCATAGAGATGGAAGTGACCCAGTATAGAGAGACCACCAGCGCGATCTGCAGGGCCCGCAGCAGGAAGGGCTTCTCCCCGCTGTCTGCTTCAGCCTCTCCAGAGGGGTCAGAGGCTCCCGTCAGCGCCATGTGCAGGATCCTGGACCGCTTGAGGGGTGCCCTGTTCATGGCAGCAGAGGAGCTGGGTCACACCACGACCAGAACACTCCCTGGGACACAGGGCAGGTGCAGCCCTCAGGGGTCAACAGGGTTGGCTTAAGTGCCCTTCTTCCTCTGGGATGAAGTTCTGCTTTGGATGAGCCCAGGAGGGCTGCTCCACAGCCAGCTTGGTCCCAAAAGGAAGGCGCGCAAGAGAGCAGCGCAGGAGGAGGAGGCGGGCTCCGGGTGGGGCCGGGGCGGAGGTGACCCGGAGGGGACTAGGGGCTGGGGCCTAGTAGGGAGGAGGGGCAGGGAGAAAGGAGGGGAGTGGACGGGGAGGGGCGAGAAAAGGGACAGCACAGGGTGGGGGGCGCGTGGGGAGAAGAGGGGTCGCAGGGCGGTCAGAGGGGCTGGGGCGGGGTCGGGGGCGCGGCAGGGGCGGGAGGCGAGGCCAGCAGCCGGGCTCTGCCCGCAGCCTCCGAACGCCGGAGAAAGCCTCCCGGGCGGGGCGGGGCCATGGCTCACTTCCTGACACGCCCCCGGCCCCGTCTTAAAGGGCCCGCGCGCCCGAAAGCGTCCTTAAAGCCAAGCCCTAGGGCTCCGCGTGCCCGTAGTCTGTCTGCACTGGTGCTCCCCGCCCAGGGCGTGCTCTGCTGCCGGCTAGAGGTCAGGTGCGCTTGGCAGCCCTGGGTGATCTTTGTGGGTGCACCAACCTCCTGGCTTTGTGGAGGCGCTCCCTCCCCTCCCCCGCCCATCCTAGCTGGCGGCTCCGGAGGCTCCTCCTCGCCCCCGGCTCCGCTCTAGTCCGTCTTCCCGAACGCGGAACGTGGAGTGCGTCCCCGAGGCTCGGCGCTACCTCCACTGTCCTCTTCCTCGAGACTCCCTTCCAGCCCAGCATTTCTCCACCAGCCAAATCACTCTTCCAGGGATTGTCTCAGGCTTCGCCTCGGAGCCAGCGATTTCCACCGCTCCCTCGCCGAGCTCCACGCGGCGCTCCCAGGGGCCGGAGGTCACGCCCCCGCCGCCCCCAGATCCCACTCCCCGCGTTCCAGACCTGCGACGACCCGGACCCGAACTCTCGATGCAGTCCTGTTCTGGGTCTCCTCCTCTTCCAGAAAATACTGTCTTCCCGCAGGGAGCGGCGCGGGTACCCGAGTCTACACTCACCTCTCCCGGTGCCCGGGACGCCACCCCGCTGCACCTGCTGCATCCCGAGCGGCTTCCTGCTCCCGATCCCGCGCCTGCCAGGCAGGGTTTCTCCACACCCCAGGGCCATCTCCGCCCTTGTTTCCCTCCTCGCGGTATGCTGCAGGCAACTGCCTGGAACCTGGCGTGCTGCGTACTTGGCGTACTGCGCTCCCAGAAGTGCCGCGCTAGCCTCCGGATTGGGCCTCTCCCCGCCCCCTCCCAGGTCCAGGGCTGGGGAAGGTGGCCAGGCCAGGGTCCCAGACTCACTAGGCAGCCGGGAGGACAGATTGCTTTCTGGTTCGTGTTCTGGCTCCAGCGTTGGGCAGGCCGGTTCGCTTCACTGTCAGTACAGGTGGTGTCCTAGACCAGGGTGTCTCCACCTGCTGGCTCAAAACTGTAGCTTGTGTGGTTGAACTCCAGGACTGTCGTGTGTGTGATAATCCAAATGCTGTTTAGTAGCATTTGTCAAGACAGAGCGACAGATGTGGAGTTACAGCTCTAATTGGCTTTTCATAAATTGTGGCAGTTTACAGTCCACAAAATAGAACGAGAGCCCCTACCTGTGAAAGGTAGACCAGCCGGTTTTGTAAAGCAGGAACAAGGAAACGGAACAATAGAATACAAGTGGATTGGCTAGCATCAGGTTACTTTATTTTTCTTTTGGTGAGAGGTTAAGCAGAGGGACCTTTTTGTTATTCTGACAAGTAAACTAGTAATCTGTTTTCAAGAAAATCTGGTCTGTTTTGCGATCTGTCTACTTAACACGGATTGTGTGGCATTTAGCACACAATGAAGAAGAAGGTGAGTGAGGTAGAAGAGTGAGTTTACTATTTGTAGCAGGTGAGGAAGGCTCAGGAAGACAAAGACGCAGTTTTGTGGGCCACTCCCGCGCATGCCCAGTTCCAGATCATGCTCTTTCTCTGGTTATCTTACAAGAGGATGGAGAGATTTCTCTTCAGGGCGAAGAATTTAACATTATAGTAAAATTATAATGAGCAGCGTTCTATGCTAGGTGACCTGGAAGAAATACTGTACAGTTCTGTATAATATGAACTGGGTTTTAAAAAAATTTCTCTGGAGGTCCTTAACCTGAAACAGAAAAACAACATTGAAGAGATTGTCAGTCATTTAAAGAGGCAGCTTCTGCCCCGACCATCTCCTAAAAGTTCCTCTTTAGCCGCTGACAGCTCCAGTTTGGTTTGGTCTGGTCTGTTGGGGCTAAGTGGAGAAGTTCAACTCCTAAACAAAGGCCTTCTAGTGCCGGGTGTGGTGGTGCACACCTGTAGTAGTCGCAGCACTCCGGAAGCTGAGGCAGGAGGACTGCTGTGAGCGAAAGTTCAGCCTGGGCTACATAATGAGTTTAAGAGCAGCCTAAACTACATAACAAGGCCTGTCTCAAAACAAAACAAAACAACAACAATCACAACAGCCATAAAACAATGGCCTTCTGGTATAATAGTACAACTGGGGTTATGGGACCATCTCCTTTGTTCACCTGAATCTGGACAACACCCCAGACCAACTCCCATGACCTTTGCCCTGAGGTCTACCATGGGGAGGCGGAGAGGAAAAAGACAGCAAACCCTGGAGAATTGGAAATCCCAAGGTGAATGCGGGCCAGACCTGGCAGCATGACCTACAGTAAGTTTCTTTGGTTGGAGCCCACTAAAGCTTCCTATATAATCCAATTATAAGAGAGAATTATGGGAAAGGACATGCGCAGTAGGCACAGCTGACCTGACTCAGCACCATGTCAATTGCATTGTCAATCACCCTGGAAGACCCAATGGGAGATGCCCTAGATCTTGCCCAACATTTTAACTTTTTTAAAAAACAAGTTCTTGCTGTGTAGTCCAGGTTGGCCTTGAAGTTATTACCCTAGGTTGGCCTTGAACTTGCATCAAGTGACATGTTGATAATTATTGAAGTTGGGGGTTCATTGTAAGAGTTTCCTAATTTTCTTGTACATTTGAAAGTTTCCATAATAAAAAGGTAACATGTTTGCGGTGCCTTTGAGCTCTCACCTGCTCACTGTACAAAACTCCTGTACTAACAGCTGTTGCTGGGCTCTGGGGATAGAGAAGAGCATTTACAGAGAAGTAAACACACCCAGCAGCCCCAGGGCATGGCAAGGCTTCCCAAAGTGATCTTTGCTTGTACAAGGCATTATAAAACGAAACTTTTAACAGTTAACTTCTCCAAACTTCCTCCTGCTGAGCACATAGTCAACACCCCAAAAGGGGCAGAATATGCAGGTCCCAGCCCCAGGAAGCCAGGGGCCTGGTTTTTTTCCACAATAAAGAGGAGGATGAGCTGCAGGTGACTGGAAGTGATAAAGCAAATGTCTGTATTGTCTTGATGTACTTTCTGCCCTCCCTGAGCCTACTATGAAAGATCGTTGCTCCCCTGTAAATGATGCGATGGTGATTTGAGGCAAATGGGCCCCTCCACGGCCTTGGAGAGTGACTTCAAAAAATCCCCAGTTTCTTTTTACTCAAATATAAGGCCTTTGCTTTGGTCAGTGGTGGGCAGATGAGCCCGTGTGTTTGAACCTAAGTGGCTGGTAACATGCCCAGGCTTGCCCTCTTCTGCCAGGGCCTTGCTCTGGATACCACACTCCATCTTCCTTCTATGGTGGGACTTCCTGTTTCCTACTTACGGATGGATGTCCCCTGACAGATGCCGTTTGGGGACCTTATTACCTTTGGGAAAGGAAAGGCTGACAGGGACAGAGCTGTTTTCCCTAACCTTCCCTAGAGAGTCTCCTGCCAGAGCCACGCTTGGGAGGTTTTTGGCTTCTTTTTATTGAGAGCTTGTGTCTCTTTTTAGGCCTCACAGTCTGCCATGATGTAATAATGAAGAACTTGTCTGTGAGAGGCCCGGTTACCTGGAAGGCCCTTCTGGTATAGAGGAAAGAGACTCCCAACTTGCTAGATGTCTGGTGCCAGTTCATGTTCTCTAAAATTGAAGAATGAATTTGAGGAACAATGGAGTTAAGAGCAGAATTGTTTATTGAGAGAAAGAAAGCTTCTGTCACAGAGAGAGACAGAAGGGGTCCCAAGTGGGTTGCCAAAGACTGCCTTTTCTAGGTATTGTATAGAGTAAAACCACAAAGTGAGGCAGGTCTAAGGTGGGACAAACATGGGAATTCACAAGGTAGGCATGAGGAAGGACAGAACTATGGTTAACCAATAAGATTAATTGCTCAGGTAAAATTGATTAAATCGGGGACAAATGGGGAAGCAAGTCACGTAGCAAGTGAGCGTGAATACATAGCAGTGACTGTTCCCCTAGCGGGTTAGGACGGTGACTCCTGGCTTCCTCAGGGTAATAAGGACCTATTTAGAATATCAGTTCTGATGCTTGTTCTTAGGAAGTATGTGGGTGCATTTGATTTATCTTTTGTCTTGAGGTCTGACCCACAGCAGAGGTGTCTGTCTCCCTCACAGTTGCAGGACATCTCATCTGTCTTCTGCACAGGCTCCTTTGAGGGCCCAGCCCTGTCTGACTGCCTATAATATTTCTATCTAACTCAGCTGCCTGTAACGAAAGTGTTTATCTGTTGAAGGTGCTGTTGCTCTAAATTCTAGGGAAGGGAGATGGCCTACATAGAGGCTGAATGCATTTCATGGAGATTCCTGGGCAGTTAGTGCTGGGAATGAGGGAGAGTCTGGGTTCTCCATCTGCCAGGAAGCCAAAGATATTTTCATCTCCAGTCTCCCCATGCAGCAAGCTGAAACCCTACCATTAACCTCACTCCTTGGATCAAGGTGGTAACAGGCCAGTACAGCAAACTTCCTAGATTTAAGCCTGTTCCTCATGAGGGAAAAGGGAGGTGGGGATTTTTTTTTTTTTTGAGCCCTCAGGGTTGTCCGTTTTGTGCACACTGTTCTCTTTTGAATTCTTATTTGTAAATCATTAAAATTTTAGGTCTTGCCAAGAATAATTACCGGTGTGTGGATTTAGTGTGAAGTGGTCCAAAGGTGATCACCATGGCAGATGGACTATAAACCAGGAAGTCCGTCACTTGATGGGCGGGGTCCCATTTTCTTGCCTTGGCTGGGAGCTGCTAACCATATTGGCATGAGGTCCCTTCCACACTGTGCACACAGCTAGCTCCCAGATGTCGAGGACACCAGATCTGTGCCTGTGGGGCCTCTGAGCTTCTGGAACAACAGACGTCAACTGTCACCTCTGAGTTTACCAGGACTCATTGATATGGGGGAGATAAATGTAACTCCCAACCTGCAAATGTCAGATATGCTGAGTTCATGTTCCCTGACATTGAGGAATGATTCTAACGAACAGTGGAAGTTAAGAGTAGGAAATATTTATTGAGAGAGAGAGAGAGAGACAGAGAGAGAGAGAGAGAGTTCCTGAGAGACAGGAGGGGACCCAAAAAATGGGTTGTCATATACTTTGCAGAGGAAAATT